TCGCTTTCACAACGAAAAACACAGCGGCCTAGCGTGAGGGGAAGCCCCGGCTTAGCGTGAGCTGAGGCCGGGATAGAGTGAGCTGAGGCCAGGCTAGAGTGAGCTAAGGCGGCAGGGTCGAGAACGGCGCACACGGCGGATCCGACGAATGAGCGGCAACCACATGTGACGGACCCCGGGCTGGATTCCGCTTCGTCCACGGTGAAAGTTGATGTATTCCCTCAGCGACCAGCACAGATCAGCTCCAGGCATGACGAAGCAGATATCGTCCTCTTTTGGAAGACCAAACAAAGAAGTATGGCTTTCACAACGAAGCACACAGCGCCTTCACGACATGGCAGCGGCGGCAACAACAATACTACAGCGAGAATAAAAGTTATGCCTTCTTTCTTTGCATGAACATTTGGGCGGCGTTATGCAAATCTTCCCACATCGTGACATAGTGCTCTGAAATTGAAATCGCATCATATGACCCCTTTAATCTCAGAACTGAATACACACTACAGATTGAAATTTACAAACACGTGGCATATTTTCTTTGTTTTGCTTTTCTGTGAGCTAGCCAATATATCTCCATTAAATCAATATCTTTCACCAATAAGAGAATAGCATAGTGGTTCTCGAAATGCTCAATTATGTTTTTGTTATGAGGAAGATTAATTATGTTGGAGGAATGCTATACAGAGACAGTGGCGATGACACGCCCGCTCACAATGAAAGAGCTGATTCTGCAAAAACAAGCCTTCTGTTCAGAGCCGGAGAGAGTTAAATATGCTAGAGTCTGCACTTTCTCGCCTTTTTTCTTCTTCCATCAGCTGTCGTGAATACAGTCGATAAGGGTGTGAGTATGTGTGTTGTGTGTGTGTGTGCTTTACCTCATACCTCGTCAATATAGTATTGTTCAAACAAAATGTTAGAACACTGTGTAGATGGCACTGATTTTCACTGGCATACTTTATGGAGGAGTGCATTTTTGGAGATTTCCACTCAGCTAAATATTACAAATAGATAAAGTGTCTGTGTGTGTGTGTGTGTGTGTGTGTATGTATGTATGTATGTATGTATATATATATATATGATTAAACAACGTGACCAATGGATAGTGCACATTTGATTTTTTATTTTAAATATTTTACATATGCATGCATATATTCATTTCAGAAATTGTATAAACCTTTATCTTTTTTGCTATTATTAAATTTTATTATGTACAGTAGGGTCAGAAAGTCTGAAACCACTAATGTAAACGTTTCTGTTTGGCTTTTTCTTATTTATTTAATTTTATTTACAAATTGTATATTGTCACTCTATAATGATCAAAAGAGCATTTTACAGTACTTCAATGGAGGCAAGAACACCTGACCTGACAAAGGAGCCACATGGTCAATATTACAAATGTACTTATTTAATTAGTAATATAAAAAATAATATAAATAGAATATAATTCTAGAATATGCAGAATATAATTACAGGTATCTTATTATAATCTGTAATATTATATCTTAATATGATTCTTATTCATGGCATAGTGGTGAATACAGCTGAAAAAGTTGTTGTTGGTGGTGGTGGTGATGCTAGTAGTGTTTTCTTGAGCTTCCTTATTTCCGTCCACAGTGAGATTCAGTCATTTTTCTCCCAAAGCATTCTGCTCGCTGCAGCTTGGCTAGTCCTGAGGTGCTCATTTTCATCCCTTCCTCCATTTTTCCTTCTTCTAACAGCTTGTACTACCCGCTTGCATTTTCATTTGTCTCCTGAGTTCCACACACTCTCTCTCTCTGTCTCCGTTTCTCTTGCTCGCTCTCTCTGTTTCTCGTCTTCTCCCTCGCTGCTGTGAGGTTCTGAGGGCAGTCATGACTGCTCTGTTTTGGGTGCTGGATCTCGGTGTTGTTTTTGACTGGCATTGAGCGCCGGTTGATCGTTCTCGGACCAGGAACAATCTTCAGAGTGGCCCAGGAAAGGGCCACCAACCAAAGGACTATGCTTTGAGGGTACTGCGGTCTCTCTTGAGCTCAGAGAGAATGAGATAGCGTTACAAACAACCCATTAACCATTCTCCTGAAGAAGGTAGGTGGAATTTACCTGGTTATGAATTTGCGGACAGTGAGTCTGAATTTCAGAGAGAGGTTGTTTTTATTGTTTTGTATGATTAATAGGTATTGTAAGGTTTGTGAGGGTGTTGGTCTGGATGCACAAATTTTAGAACTGGATTACACTTTGTTATCATCATGGTTATGGAAAATGTTGGCATCGCTTTGAAATGCAAATTCCGCTGTTATTGGTATATTTGGGTGGTTTTTGTTTCATTATTTAGAGTCGAATCATTGTTCTGAACGTTACATGACTGCCTCGGGCTCATTGCACTAGTGCTGTAGTAATCTGTCACCTTACAGATGAAATCTGAGTGTTACGATCACTATGCCACAGATCACAGTTATTTTTGATGAATTATCAACATTTGTAGTGTACAGGTTCCATTTTTACCCCTGTGGAATCTACGTTTCTTTGAATTGTTTGAAGCTGCCTGTGCCTGTCATTGGAAAAGCATGATGACTCACTGACCATAAGCATTTCAGCTCCAGTGTTGCTCCAGTCGTTGTACAGGAAAAAGAACAGTGTTTTAAGCTTTTTACACATCTCTAATGAGGAACATATACGGCAACAAGAGTTTTATCTACATTCTAACATTTTTTCTCTCATTGTGCACTAAAATACAAATAGTCAATTTGATTATATGTGACCCTGGAGCACAAAAGCAGTCTTAAGTCGCTGGGGTATATTTGTAGCAATAGCCAAAAAAACATTGTATGGGTCAAAATTATTGATTTTTCTTTTATGCCAAAAATCATTAGGATATTAAGATATTTATGTTCCATAAATATATTTTGTAAATTTCCTACTGTAAATATATCAAAACTTAATTTTTGATTAGTGATATGCATTGCTAAGAACTTCATTTGGACAACTTTAAAGGCGATTTTCTCAATATTTTGATTTTTTATGCACCCTCAGATTCCAGATTTTCAAATAGTTGTATCTCGGCCAAATATTGTCCTATCCTAACAAACCACACATCAATGGAAACTTATTTATTCAGCTTTCAGATGATGTATA